TCTTTTGAGCTTTTCCCAACTTTTGCTCTAAGCACGTTTTACAGGCTGGGGAAAATACTGGTAAGACACCTCCTTAGGACATCTGCTGGACTGTCTCCTGGAAAGCAAACAAAGGGTTACTTTTCAAGATAACCTCCCTGGTATATGCTCAACTTCAAGACAACCCAATCCCCCCCTTCCTTGTTGTCTAGCAACAGTACCTGCTCCAAAGAGCAGGCTGTCCCTTTGTTACTTTCCTTTGTATTGATTAGCAAGCATGGGCCCTTTCCCTTCTGGGGGAAAGTAACACAAACTCCTTTGCATCTATTCTCTCAGTTGTGAAATCTTTCACAGCCCTGCGTGTCACCGGCCAAAACCCTAACACTACCCAAAGCAATCTACAGATTCAATGCAATCCCTATTAAAATACCAACAGCATATTTCAAAGATCTAGAATAGCCCCAAAATGAATATGGAACCAAAAAAGACCCCAAAAAGCCGCAGCAATCTTGAGAAAGAACAAAGTTGGAGGGATCACAATACCAGATATCAAACTATACTATAAAGCCACTGTAATAAAAACACCCTGGTACTGGCACAAGAGCAGGCATGTAGACCAACAGAACAGAAAAGAAACCCCAGAAATCAACCCATGCCTTCATAGTCAATTAATATTTGACAAAGGAGGTAAGAGCACACAATGGAGTAAAGACAGTCTCTCCAATAAATGGTTCTGGGAAAATTGGACAGATACATGCAAAAAAAAAAAAAAAAAGAAACTAGACCACCAACTTACCCCTTACACAAAAATAAACACAAAATGGATAAAAAACTTAAAGGTAAGTCATGAAACCATAAAAATCCTAGAAGAAAACATAGGCAGTAAAATCTCAGACATCTCACAAAGCAGTATTTTCATGAATACATCTCCTACCAAGGGCAAGAGAAACAAAGGAAAAGATAAACAAACAGGACTACATCAAACTAAAAAGCTTCTGCAGAGCAAAAGAAACCACTAAGAAAATGAAAAGAGAACCCACTGTATGGCAGAACATATTCACCAATGATACATCTGATAAGGGGCTAATTCCCAAACTATACGAAGAACACATACAACTCAACACCAGGAAGACGATTCAATTAAAAAATGGGCAAAGGACCGGAATACACACTTTTCCAGAGAAGACATACAGATGGTAAACAGACATGAAAAAATGCTCTGTCACTAATCATCAGAGAGATGGAAGTTAAAACGGAAATGAGATATCGCCTCACACCTGTCAACAAATCAATAAATGACAGTGCTGGCGAGGATGTGGAGAAAAGGGAACCCTGATACACTGCTGGTGGGAATATAGACTGGTGCAGCCACTGTGGAAAACAGTACGGAGTTCCTTCAAAAATTAAAAATGGAACTGCCATTTGACTCAGTGATCCCACTTCTGGGAGTATATCCTAAGAATCCCGAAACACCAATCAGAAAGAATATATGTACCCCTATGTTTATAGCAGTGTTATTTACAATAGCTAAGATCTGGAAACAGCCTAAGTGCCCATTGGTAGATGAGTGGATAAGAAAGCTGTGGTACCTTTACACAATGAAATACTATGCAGCTGTAAAAAAGAAGGAAATCTTACCCTTTTTGATAGCATGGAGGGACCTGGAGAGTACCAAGCAAAATAAGCCACGTAGAGAAAGACAAACATCACCTGATCTCACATGTGGAAGCTAATGAACAAAATAAAATAACGAACAAAATAGGTTGAGGCATGGATGCATGGAACAGACAGATCTTGGGGAGGGGGCAGGGACAGAAAGAGACTAACCAAAGAATATATATGCATATATGCATAGCCCAAGGACACAGACAAGTGTGTGGAAGGCCTGGGGTGGGG